ATGCAGTTTTTTAAATTTTTGATTTTATTATTTATTAAGGAATTAAATAATGAAATGTTAAAAAAAAGCTAAAATATTTTTTTTAAAAAGCTAAAATACATTTTCAGCTGAAATATTTTTTTCTATTAATATTACATACTACTTGTAATTAAAAGATAAAAATCCCTGCATAAGGATAAAATTTTAATTTATTACACCTGTATGATTATTAACTTTGACAGCGAAATATTTTGCTATTCATACGCAATTTTCAATGAATTATTCATCGAATAATTTTTTTCTACTTTTTTTTTAAAAAATATTACATTTTTATTTTTAATTAAAAATTTTAATTTATTGCACCCGTATGGTAATTAATTTTGACAGAGAAATACTTCATATGCACTTTCAGTGAATTACTAATCGAATATACGTAACAAAAAAATTCACTATAACACTGCGCATCTGTTTTTACAGAAGCTTTGTTGTAATATAAAGAATCTCGTTCAGAATCAACTTTCAATCTTAGTTATTCGATTTGCATATCAAGTGAAATGGGTGAATTTAAAAAAGTGATTACTCTTTTACAAACTTAATTTTGAAAATATGTATTCAGTTTCTCTTTCTATTGAGGAAAAAAAAAATTTTCATCGATCTGTAAGAAAAGAAAAAAAATGGTTTTGCATCATTAATTTAATCTAGTTTCAATTTTTTTTGGGGGGTAAGCCACTAAGTTCGCCGTCCAAACAATTAATTTGGAAACTGGTCTCTTTTCTGTATACAAGCTCCCACAATTATTACACAATAATTTTTATTTTTTAACGTTTAATAAAGGTTTCGTCCTGCAGTGGACTGATCGTTAAGACACGGTTACCAGCAGATCACCGAAGTCAAGCATCCCTGGCTGCTGTCAGTGTGCGGGTGGGTGACCACTTGGATCAGTTTGCGTAGGGACCGAGGGTGTGCGGTATGGGTCCTCGTTAAACTGTTCTACCGTAAAGTGCTCGACTTCGCGTGCAGGTCGTCGGGCTACCAAAGCGGGGATGCCATCCCCTCCGCAGAGGATCAAAATTGTGATGGCATGTCTTCGGATCATCCTCAGGGATGTTTCCCAGACCGTCGCCAATAGCCCATTGCGCAGCTCTAGAGCGACGTAAATGAACAAAACAAACAAACAAAAAATCAATAAAGGTTTCATTGTCTTCCAAAACACGGAAAACTGGAGAAAAAAAACTGGACTAAATTGAAGAAACTTAAGGAGTACAGTAATTTAGTATTGCTGGGACCACTGCTGTTTTAGATATTCAAATGAACGTTGCACTTTGCTTTGCTGCTCAAAAACTAGACTTAATAAGACTTAAAAGTTTGAAATTACTAAGGTGTGAGCAGCGATGGCTAAGGTGTGAGCAGTCAGGGGATAGAGCGTTCGCCTTCAAATGAGGTGAACCGGTTTCAAATCCCAGTGATGGCTGGTCGATACGAATCCGCATCCGGCTTGCACCAATACTGTGCTGACTTTAAATATCCTCAGTGGTAGACGGATCATGGGTAAGAGTCCCTTTGCCGGCAGGCTAACAGTGGGCGGTTCTCGTGGTCTTCCTCTCCATGTAACGAAAATGCAAGTTAGTTCCATCAAAAAGTCCACCGCGGAGACACATTTCACTCTGGGGGTACTGATCCAGGAATTCCCTTGTCTTCTGGATTGGGTTCAAAATGACAAGGCAACGGAGTTGAACATTAGTAGTCGTAAACCCGAAAATTGGGTCGACTGTTCAACGACGAATATAAAATTAAAAAGCATTACAGGGACAGACAAGTTCCGATGGGATATTTTAAATATAGAATTGCTAAATAGAAGTAATATTAGTCAGACTTTAAATTCCGTCGGTACATAAAGGATAAACACAGATTTGAATCCACAGATTTAATTCCCGATTTTATTAGGATAAAATTCAAATCCAATTATTTTGTTAGGTTGCAAAATACAAGCTTGTCAACCAATCAAAGTAGGAGAACAAAGATTTCTTTGTTCGAAAATTTTAAAATTTTTTTACTGAAAAAATTATACCAATACAATTCTGTGGTTAGCACATTCTTTAAAAGGTAGTTTAGTACTACGCAAATACTGGATTTATTTTTTTTTTCGTAAATATCCTTGGTTTCTAGTAATTTACGTTAAGATTAATTTTTCAGCATCAAAATTGGTTTTCGTCATTTTAAATTAAAATTTCAGAGTCAGCTGACATTAAATTTCAAAAAATCTAAACACAAGTAAAAGTACAGCACTCAACTAACAGTACTTTACTTTATTCTTCTTCTACTTCTACTACACAGGGGTCTGTTTAGAAGAAATTTGGGTCCGTTAACGGACCCTTCACAAAATATCTTTTCATAAAAACGGACCCTTCACAAAATATTTTAACTTAAAAACGGACCCTTCACAAAATATTTTAACTTAAAAACGGACCCTTCACAAAATGATTTTTCTTTTAATCGGACCCTTCACAAATTTGTTTATCTTCATTATTATTTTGTTAATCGAATAAACCCTTTCCAGGGCAGAAAACAAGAAAGATGGA